CTCCTTTCCGACTGATGTCGTGCCTTCCGTGACCCTTGTCAGGGGCGAATGCAATACACGGCTCTTAGCCTATTCGCGACTCGATCCTAGATAGGGTTTGAGTTCGACTCATGACTAGTCTCTCGTGAATAGTCATTGAGACAGGGTTCTCAATGACCGCTAGTCATACTAGGTCTGATGGTGAAACATGCATCTAGATATTTAGCAGCGTGGAGAGCTTCCACGCTACTAGATAAATGCTAGAACAAACCTTCCACGCGTCCGTTTTTGGCGTCGTGGAGTGAGTAGGATTGCTACCGCAACCTACTCTATCACACTTTACAGTCTCCGCGGGAGTTCAGATCTACGATCCTTTGATTGTGGATCTCTCTCGTTGATTAGTTTTTCATAGCTTTCTAATCTCTCATAACTTTCATTCTCTCAAACTCAAAACACTCGAAAGATCTTTACACTAGCTTTTAGCGTAGTGCATTGTTGTTGACTTCCTGCCGGTAATCCTTGTGGATTCTACCGACGAACTCTTGCTGCTGCCGACGAAACTCTCGTCGTGCGGCTTGGATGCAGTCTCCTCTCGCGTCCTCGCGATCGATCCGTCCTCGGATCCTTCACTCGTTGTCGCGTCGTCGCTCTCGCTGCGTCGTCGCGTTGCTGTCGATCCTTCGACAGTCTTCTGCTCTTCGGTGTTGTACCGATGCCGTCGTCGTTGTCGTCGTCGACGGTCTTCTTCTCTTGTCGCGATCTTCCTTCCGATCGCGTCGCGTTGCTGTCGGTTCGACAGGCTTGGTCTCTATCGATCCTTGCGTCGTACCGATCCGTCGATCTTCTTCGTACGGTCGTTCGAACGTTGCTTCTTCCTGCTACCGATTGGCTCCTCTTCGTCGATAGTAGACCGCTTTTTCAGTAGTATGTTAGTTGCTCTAAGCTCTCTTCTAGTTTACTTGCTATTGAGATACTACTGAAAAAGTGGGTGGGTTACCAGCTTTTGCTACTGGCATCAAATTCTAGTACAGAGGTACAGGTTGAATCCCTAATCGCGAATCCCCAACAGTCATGGCTTTTAAGGCAAAGACAAAGAAGATGGAGAGGAGTCCTGACTTGGCATGCATCAGGTACAGTGCAGACATTGTTGATTTCCTTCTTGCACTGCAGGACAAGCTGGAAGATTTCTTGGGTATCCCGGACTATGAGCTGCCAATCTGCACTGAACACAAAAGGAATGGTGTTACTTTCCGTGGTCATCCTGACTTTAGAGGTGGCGGACCCTGGAGGGATTGGGCAATGATCAATTGGGGAGAGATCCTGATGATGGTGACTATGGCGACTTGCCGTGCCACATCTGGTGCTTTGTGACTCTGCAAGGGCTACCGGAACCAGGCGCTGCGAATATGGATGCCGAGCTTAGGGAATATGGAGGTATCTACCTGGAAAACCTGACCTATGCCGTGGTAGAGAGTGCAAAATGGGATCCAAACCACAAGGAAGTCACCATGAGTGACCTGTTCCAACCCCTGATCAAGGACGTAGGTCAGAAGAAGCGCACATTCTACCTGGCTGATGTGGGTGCCATTGTTTCCCCAATGTGTGTGGTGCCAGATATCGGTTGCAAAGACGGAGATAGGTATTTCAAAGTTAGGCCTAGGTCAGTGCAATACACGGCTCTTAGCCTTATTCGCGACTCGATCCTAGATAGGGTTTGAGTTCGACTCATGACTGAGTCTCTCGTGAATAGTCATTTGAGACAGGGTTCTCAATGACCGCTCTGGTCATACTAGGTTGATGATGAAACATCGCTCTAGATATTTAGCCAGCGTGGAGTACTTCCACGCTACTAGATCCAGGCTAGACAAACCTTCCACGCGTTCCGTTTTAGGATCGTGGAGAGACGTAGGATTACTACCGCAACCTACTCTATCACACTTTATAGTCTCCCGCGGGAGGCCAGATCTACGATCCCCTGATGATGATCTCTCTCGTTGATTAGTTTTCATAGCTTTCTAATCTCTCTCATAACTTTCATTCTCTCAAACTCAAAACACTCGAAAGATCTTTACACTAGCTTTTAGCGTAGTGCATCAGAGTGGAGCGACGAGTTCATCTCTTGGGTGGAGGATCCTCACGAATTTGATCGACACAAATAAAGATACTCATATAGTTTTTATGTAATTAGCGAGAAAAAATGAGGTAAACTAAGCTCGCCTGTTGTCGATTGCGACATTAGAAGTTGTCTTTTGCGACCAATTTAGTTGCTTCTAGGCGAAAGAAGTTCCCGAAACGTATGCCCAGCTTCCAAATCCGCACGGAAGGCATCTCATTTGGCAAGGCGGTGCCCATTTCGGAACTTATTAGGATTTCGGAAACCTTTTTAAGCCAGCCTACATTCAAATGTGTCACACGGTACTGACGTCTAATTAGAAAATTCGATCTTTTAATATATATATACAGTCCTTAATAATAGCATAGAGCAATCCAGCCACCAATCCGGCTCATTCAAGTTTGAATCTTCAGAAAAGCACCGATTTTACCTTCCAGATTGGGAAAGTTAGCTCACAAATTGCCGAAGAACGGCCTAACGCACAAGAGCACGTTGATATTTGGCTTGGGCGAAATGTGCTTCCTAGATGACATTACCGGTACCGACGTGTTAACGCACTCCTTTGGCAACAACAACAACAAATACGTTGAACCAAAGCAATAAGAAATCCATGGACATCACTACAACCTATCTCACTGTGCCTGGAACATCTCTATGGAACAACAAATCCGAGGCTATACGTTCTTTCCAGACTGCTAGAATCAACCAACCGCCTTGCTTTCAGGCCATCGAAAGCAGCCAACAACGACTACTATCTATCATTAGTTACGACGCCTATATCGACAACCTACTATCTATCAAACCAATCAACATCTTTATCTATCCTATCGGACGAGAGCTACCATCCATCCAATCAACACGATCGACTGTTACGTTCGAACGACAACAAAACACACTATCAACTGTTTCCTCGAGTAGATCTTACCAGTACCACAACAACCACTGCAGGAGTGCACGACCGATCTTCACTCCCACAGATCTTTCTCGAAAATCCAGAACGCAGTCTACACCTATCAATTGTACCTCTATCAAGTCACAACCTTAAGTCCCATGCCATTGGTGACATCATCAGAGCGCCCCGACACATCGAATCTACAGCCAATCTCAGATTATCTTCAAAAACACAATCTTCGCCAAATGATAATCGCAATTGATGCTCTGTACGAAGCAATCTGCAGTACTTGCTCGCCTCCACGCAACAAGCTATCTATCGACTCTGACTCAGAGCTACCTTACTGACTGAGAGTATATCTCAATGCATCACAACCAGTATTCTTTTAAATTTATACGACAATATGCCCTACAACTTGACCAGCAATCCCTTTAGTGAATGAAAACTACAACATGAACGATTTCAGAATTCAGAACAACAACAACCACAATGATTAGAAACCACAACAACAACCAACATCGAATTGTTTCGAGCTTCCAGTGACACTGAAACTCGACAGGAGTGTGTTGGAAGTAGAAATTTACCCATCAATCCACAATAAGTTTAGGCCCACCAAGACCATCAACAGAGTTAGGAATATTACCCACAATCTACATAAATCTTTAGTGACAGGGAAGACATATGCCAGAGACAACCAAGAGACATCTGACAGGCATTTATTCCCACCATTAGCAGATAGTACAAGTAGGTGACAAGCCACTTGTTGGAGCAATCCCAAAACCAATCCCAGATTGACTCCTACGGAGCCACTGAATCCTCCAGAAAGAGAAACATTTAGAGATCTTAGCTTTTAGGAGGAGCTACATTCCAGAGAGCTCATAATTTCTATAAAACTACCTCAGTGAACGGCAACCGAGCAAGCTATTCCAATAGGAGCTTGTGTTTGATTCATGATTCCAACAGCCATATACCGTACGTCCAACTGTTTAGCTTCCTTTGATGTCACTACAGGTTCAGTCAGTCACAACAACTATTAAAATACCAACATCATCACAGCACACACACAAACCACACCAGGCAATGAGCCAAGTTGACCAAGACAGGCACACTGACGAACGAACACGACAGATCAACAGCAATCCTCGACCAGGACCCAGCTGGCACATGAGAAGGGACTTATGCAACACCAATAACTAATGATAGCCCTTTCAAACACCACTCTCACAGGAGAAACACAACAATACAAACACTTTTTGTGGAAGGCTCCCGCGATTTATTCGTTGACTGTCACACCGGCGTGAAAAACACCCCCATCAAGCTGGCTCTCTATTGGATATGTTCCGAGACAAGAGTGCACCCCTAAAAATGACAACCCCACTGTAGATCACGGAAAGGCTTGAACAGGCTCTGGCTCATGGGCCATACAATTCCACCAAAGTTTATATGAAATTTCTTCATTGGGAAGATTAGAACTGCGGACACGATCAATAAGGAAGGAGTCCCCACCTTATTTCAGTGTAGCTACTGAAACAGTTGCAGACATGGCTAGCACACGTGGCATTTGGTGGCTCAGAGTAAGGCAATTTACCCGCAACGTACCTATCACCTTCAGCAAAGCCATGAAATAGCAAGAGCCAGAATGGCAGCCCCTCAGGGCAGCTCTAGTACCTGCAGATGCTCCCTTCCTTGTTTATGAAAAGGGAAGGCCCGTACTCTATGTCATTGTGGCATTCTATGGTATGCTCATTGCTTCTCTCATGTGGTACATGTACTAATTTCATCTTCTTGGAAATGGAATAGATAAGGTTTGGGGATCTTGGGCACTGCAGACTCTGGAACATCAAAATACAAGCGTGGGTTGGCGCCCCCGGAGGGACCTCTTGTTCTAATGTGAACTCAATCGGATTCAAAATACAGTAGAGCTAAGGTTAAAGTTGTGAGGACTCAAAATACAGTAGAGATAAGGATATTTGGTGCGTCCGCCAAATTGCCCAATAAGTCTTTGAATAAACGGTTTGACAATTCAAAACTGGGCAACAACTCAATTCGATCAGCACCTCCAAGCTCCCAGCAAACCAAACGAAAAGCAAGGTTGTTGTAGAAAGGCAACAGCAAGAAGAGGGGACTGGTAGACTAGCTAGCTAGCTCGAATACATCACCAGACTATAACAGCGCACACTCTACAATAAGCAATCCATCAGATCATCATGTGGAGACAAAGACAGCAGCATGCCTGTGGAGGACTCTGGTTGTTCTTGTGTGTTTTGCTGTTCCCATCATCAGCATTGGCCCAAAGCAGCAGCGACATGTCCATAAATGCACCCTTTCAAGACTCGTTCAATCGACTGACACACGCTGCCTGTGTGACTCTGTTTCATCGAAAAGGGCGACTGGGATGTGGCACGGAAGATCGCAGTCTTCATGTGGGGAAATTGGTGTATTACAAAGGCAACTCAAATGGCAACAACAACTTTCCCAGCGTCAATGAAGACTTTGTGGCCGTGGTGGAAGAATACCATTTGGACGCCAGCACCCTCAACACGTTGGTGCAAGGCAACAGTAATGGATATCTCAAGGGACTGCTGTTCCTGAATTCTACTGGTATCGATTACAATCGCGACAAGAGTTACTATTCACCGGCGGCTCAATCTCCTCGTGGCTATGGGACACCCTCGGCATACGAGTGGTACGGAAACAATGCCTACCCATGGAACGCCAAAGGACAAGGCTTGAACATTTACGACTTTTATGGACTCCCCATGGCCTATGTCCCAGACTCGGATGTCTCCAATGAACTCCGCAATGCGGCCATGAATCAGATCAACAAGAACAACAACAATAATAATAATGAGGAACAGCAAGAGGGATCTTCCTCCATTGTGGCAGAATTCAACTACTACATGGGACCTGATGGCATTAACAGTCTCGAGTGCCTGGGATGGAAAGATCAGGCCGATGGAAAGTGGAGTCCCAAATGCCTGCCCTTGGGTGGAACCAGCGTCTGGGCCACGGCTGGATCTCCAGAACCCAATCAAGACAATCAAAACAACAACAACAACGACGATATCAATGACGATGATGCTAGGCGTGAACTCAACAACAACAATAATAACAACAACTATTACTACGATGCCAACAATCGACCCGTTGTCCTCGTGGCTGCGGGAATGGACGCCTCTTCCTTGTTTCATGATTTGGTTCCAGGAGCCAACTCGGCAGCTTCCAACATTCTCGCTCTTCTGATGGCAGCCAAAATGGTTGGTGGATTGGGAGACAATGTACTCGACAAACTCACCTACCGCATCGCCTTTGGATTCTTCCAAGGAGAGACTTATGGATTTGCGGGATCTCGGAGCTTTTTGAGAGATGTCGCCTTTCCGGGATTTCAATGCTCTGCCAATGACCGCATTGTCCGTTCCGTGGCCAACAATGACAAGTCCGAAAAGGCCTGTTTGTATCCCCTTCGACACAGTTTGGAGTTCCAACGGTTGGGACCCATTGCCGGTATGCTGGCAGTCGATCAAGTCGGACTCCCCGTGGCAGATGGACTCTTGTACGTGCACAATGATGGTCAAGGCGATGGATCCTTTGGCTCGTTCATGTCCAATGTTCTCAAATACTCGTACACGAGCAACTTTGCCGTATCGTACACATCGATTGAAGACAATGACAATGGATGGCCATTCCCGCCGTCTCCTCTGCAGTCATTGGTACAACTGTCCCAAGGAGCCGCGGGTGGAGCTGTCTTGACTGGATATGACTATGCCTTCACCAATCAAGTGCCATTCCATTCGCATTTGGAGTCCAACCAAGAAAAGCAAATGGATCTCGATGCTATTGCCGCGGCGGCCACACTCTTGGCACGAGCGGCTCTGGCCGCTGCCTACGATGGTGGTCAATATGATTACGAGACGTCGTCCCAGTATGCATCGCAGTGGATTGGAGAACTTTCCTCCAGTGACGAAACACTCAATATTCTGGCCAATTGCCTCTTCAAGGACGGCAACTGCGACTACCTGAAGAAGTACAATTCCATGGAACGTGAAAACGACAAGGCGCGAACCGGATTCTCCTACGGATCCGGATACCCACTAGGAACTCCACCCAATTACTACGTGGGAGTGTACAATATCAACTACGGACAACCCTTTGTACAGGTCGGAGACAGTGTCTATGGAGCCTACGATGGCGACAAGTACGGCAACCGAGGCGCGGATGCCTTTGGCATCCAACCAACTCTGCTGGAGTCTGCCATTCGCGGTATGTTGAACGACTTTTTGGGTCGCGGATCAAACCTCAACGGAGGCAGCGCGCAGGAGTGTTCCAAGCCTTCAGATTGCGACAATGTGCAGTACTGTCAAAAGAACGACGATCATGCCGTCTGCACAGGAGGTGGGAAGTGCGTGTGTGCTCGGTCACACTTCCACCTGGCTTTGGACGAAGCCTTGGAAGCCAAGCCAGGCATGGGAACGGGATATTTTGTCCAAAGCGAAAACGACAACGAGATTAGTGCAGTCTACACAGAGCCGTACTGGTCCAACGATGTCGGAGTCCGAGTGTATCGGGATGTCGGCCAAATCCCAGGTGTCGTCACCCTTGGAGTGGGTGCTGTAGTATCCGGCCTGTGTGTGTTGGCGGCCTTTGTGCTGAAAGTGGGCCTCAAGAAAGAAAAGATGTATTGAAAACACTTGCGACAATGTGGAAGCGCTTTTGAACCCAATTACCGCCGGAATGCTTGCTTGGGCATTTTATTGATAATACTATACTAAGTTCTGTTTTTTGTTTCATGCAAGTCTACAGTACATGTAGGTTGTTACAGGTTAGGCATATGAAGTAATACATCGCCAAACAGAGAAAAGAGCGCCTCTAATACTATTGGGGCTCCTCATTTTAGAATTGATTTGTGTGTTTCTTGATTGTTGACTCAGGCTGGAATGGTTGTCTTGTCTGGAATGGTTGCCTGCTTGTGCTGGTAACGGTAGTCGGAATGTACTGGTAGTGTTCTCGAGATAACATCTTCGTTCCCATTTTCGTGCCTTCATCACGACGAGCATTCCGAGACTGGTTGCCATCGTTTCTCCTTTCTACCAAGACTCCCGAAGAAGCAGAAGGGACGCTATTGGGTCCATGATTCCTTGGAGACGAGTTGTATTTTGGTCGATAACGATGCTGGTGAGGAGGGTCTGGATCAGTCGCAATATCCATGAGTATCGACACATGTACATGGGAAGCAAGGTAGTATCCGAACGTGCTGACTTCCCTGATGAACGGTAACAAGTGAGGTTCGAGGTCTAGTCTCAATATGCTCGCTTGGAGGCTGGCCTGGTACTCCCATCCTTCGCGTTGAATTCCATTCTCGACATTGATCTTTGTCTGATTGCAGGGCAGAAGCAGAAACTGGTTTATGCGACGACCATCGTTTTCGTCGACCACTCGTCGCTTGAGATAGAGATCCCAGTATCCATTGTGAGCATCTAAAAAGTGTCTTTCCGTCAGCTCGATGACTCTATCTCCACCTTGATGAGGACAACAACCCCATGATAACTTGTCGAATCCAGTCCAGCCTCGTTCTGGTATCATTGGTCGTTGTCGTTGTCCGTCTTGACGAAAATCCACTTGCGCTTCCATTATCTTGTACTTGTTGTATGGATAATGCTTGGCCTTACAATCCTTTCCTGTCACCTTTCTTCCCCAGTAGTTGGATCTGACGATTATCTTCATTGGTTGTTCTTCAACAAAGAAATAACTGAGACACTGAGACTGCTGACATCGGGAGGTCGCAAACGCACACTCAAGAGACAACTGTTCGAAAAGCAACGGTGAGCCCAAATTTCTTGGAGGTCTCGCCCTGCGTACTAGAAACCGTAAATTTAACTCTAGAGAGATAACTCTAAGTTCGTCCGTCCTTCGCAAGTGTCTTTCTCACAACCAACGAACCTTCTCTCATTTTTTCTTTCCTCCTTGATGGATGGAGCTCTCGGTCCATCGAGAATTGAGATTGTTGCCTGCACAAGAACATTGGAGCGCAGAGTGTGAACCAAGATGGAGGACATCTTCAACATGCTATCGTCATCCGCAAGGATTGACAAGTCGAAGCGCAAGAAGAAAAAGAAGCGGCAGCGACCTCCTCAAGTGGAATCAATGGACGACATTTTGGCACAAGACGGCAATGCCAATGACGAGCCAGATGACGAGGAGGAGGAGGGTGTCGAAGAGAAGTCTCGTGATCGCACTGGAAAACGCGATACCAGCGAAGAAAAACTGAAGCAAGTTCGCAAGGAACAAATTGCCGCCTTTCGCCGTTCCATGGCAATTCGATTGGCCAACAAGCACGATCCCGATATTCCGGATCCAATTTCCAGTTTTCATGATCTGACTCCTCCCACGTGGTGGAAGAGCGGCCAAGCCATGTCCAGCTTTTGGAAACCCATGCTGGTCAATATTGAAGCGGGCAGATGGAAAGAACCAACTCCCATTCAAATGCAGGCCATTCCAGCACTCATGCACCGTCGTGATTTCATTGGAGCTTCTGCAACAGGCAGTGGAAAATCTGGTGCCTTTCTCTTGCCAGCTCTACTCTTGAGCAGTGCTCCTTACGAGGCATTCTATGATGCTAACAACAACAATACTAGTGATGATGCTGACAATGGCAAGAAGAAAAAGAAAAAATCCAAAAAGAACGAAAAGAAACAATCCGCCAAAAACAACCAACACCAGCCAGTTTCTAGACAAGGAGAGATTCGAGGTCTGGTCGTGGCTCCCACATTGGAGCTGGCGTCCCAATTACATCGCGAGGTGGAACGATTGGGACAGGGAAAACCCGGTGGTGTGGCCTCACTGCTCCTTTCCAAGTCCAATGCTGCAAATGTCATTGCCGGGTCTGCCGGTGGCAAGAATGGTTTAGATATCTTGGTTACCACTCCTCTTCGAATTGTGGACTCGATTGAGAAGGGACTACGTCTAGATGCTGTGCGTATCGTCTGTCTGGATGAGGTGGACCGTCTTTTTGACGCTGCTGACGGTTCGACGCCCACTCGTCACCCAAGGAACCAGAATCCGGATGACTCTTCTTCGGAAGAGGAAAACCGTAGTGACAGTGAGGAGGACGACGACGGTGACAAGAAACCAAAAGCCGGAAAGAACAAGGGTCGAAATCCCAAGCAACGGCAAAGTAAAGACAACTCCACTGCTCAAACACAGCAACAATCCGGTTCCTCGCAAACAAAATCATTCTTGGCTCAAATGGATGTCATTCTTGACAAGATCCCTCCCACCGCAGCACGATGTCTCTTTTCTGCCACTGTCACGCCCATGGTACGATCACTGGCAGAGTCGGCTCTACGAAATCCCATAGATGTCACAATTGCAGCACCCGGTACCCATGGTGGCGCCAACACCGATATTGATCAGCAGCTCATGTTTGTCGGTAGAGAGGAGGGAAAGTTGTTGGCTATGCGGCAACTAGCTCAACGGGGACAGTTAAAGCCGCCAGTGATTGTCTTTACGCAGAGCCAAGACCGTGCTCAGGCCTTGTTTGGCGAACTCTTGTACGATGGCATGCACGTCGACGTCATTCATGCTGGACGATCCAAAGCGGCCCGTGACAACGCTGTGGCAAAGTTTCGACGGGGAGATACATGGGTGCTCATTGCAACGGACCTTGTAGCAAGAGGTGTGGATTTCAAGAGCATCAATATGGTCATCAACTACGATCTACCTACTTCAGGTATCAGCTATGTTCATAGAATCGGACGCACGGGTCGAGCCGGAAGGAAAGGTACTGCCATTACATTGTTCACCGAAGCTGACTTTGAACACTTGCGAACCATTGCCAATGTAATGAAACAATCGGGTTGCAAGGTCGAAGATTGGATGCTCAATCTGCAACGCAACAACAATCGCAGAGATAAGAACAAGAACCCATGGAGGAATCGCATCGATACCTCGCATTATGATAGAAAGAAGAAGAGGAGCAAGCAACAGCAGAATGACAACGAATCGGAAGACTAAAGAATAGTTAGTTATACTTGGAACCGGCACTTGTACATGTAGATTAGCTATCTGATGGGTGCATACCTTTGGTGTTTTGAACCTCTCGCTCTAGAATTCTTAAGTTATTCTGGGAAGGCCCAGTGTCTGGAATTACTACCCGGTGCATTCATTCGCTACTCTAACGGAACGACTTGCGGAAGTCGTCCACCTTCTGGCGCATCTGAGTCAAATCCGAATTGACCTTTGCTGCGACGTCCGTTCCGAGCCTGTCCTGGAGGGCATTGCCAACGTTCCCAGTGACAGCTTGGAGACGTTCTTGTACTAGAGATGCTGATGTTACGCCCATGTGTGCACCTCTCATGGCTGTGGCAGGGTCCAAACCAAACTTTTCAAGGATGGCTGCTTGATCCGTTCGCTTCATTCCCTTCAACGACATGACCGACTGAAGGTCCAGCGCCGAGCCTCCAGGCCATTGCACCTTGAACACATCAATGAGAAGATCCGCAGGAGTTCCAACCAGCTTCAACAAGGTTTCAATGCGACCAAACTGCTTGTGGATCATCTTGGTGTACATCGCTGGGGCAATCGTAGACGCGACCTTCTTGGTTATGGAGGATGTGCTCTTTGGCTCCAACACGGGAAGCTTCAAGAACAGCGTCTTGAGACTGTAAATGTCCAGCAAGAGTTGCTGTGTGGCCTGCTCGTTGATCTTTTTGAGGTGTACCAGCGCATTGTAGTAAGTCTTGGTAAAGGCAGTCGCAAACTTGTCGCAAAAGCTTCGGAAATGAGGAGTCGGCAAATGTCCTCGACAGGTAGTCACAAATGGTTGAATCTCCTCGTGCATTGTCCGAACGTAGGAGCTCTCTTCGCCAACCATATCGAATGCCCCCCAGTTGATGGATGCCATCATCTTCCAGGCATTCTCGACACGGTTGCCTAATCCCAGCACCAGAACGCGGATTGCTTTGGCGGTCACGTCGTGAAAGACTTCTTGTTGTGCCATCATGTCAATCTTGGGTTTGTAGGCGTCGTCAATGGTATCGCGAATCAAATCTTCCAGTGCCTCCACCGTGTCGGCACAATACTCGCAGGTACTGACCACATAACACACGGTCATTTCTTCTCCTTGTGGAATGCGATAGGTTGACGAGGTATTGTTGTTTTCCTGCTGCTGTTTTCCGACCGTTCCAAATCCCGGCAAGTTGAGTCCACCCGAGACTCCGGTCTGAGAGACTTGTTGTTGGGGAAGCTTTCCGCTCAGGACTTGAGCATACTTGCGAATGGCTCCCTGGAAGGCTTCGTACAAAAGATAAAAGGCATGCCCCTTGGACATGGCATTGCACCGTGCAATACTGCCCTTGATGTAGACAAACAATTTGGTGGACGACGTGAATACTGGCATTTCTCCACGATTATCGACCGTGCGATCATCGACGGCGTTGATGAGTTGTTCGTCCATGCTCTGATCTTCCAAAGCAATGTAGGGGCCCATGAATTTCTCAAATGCGACCGAGCAGACTCCTAGTAAGGATTCGACCGGGGTCTGTTCCGTAGACGCGGCTCCATCATCTGCAGGTTGTTGTTGCTGCTGTTGCGTAGCATTGATTTCTGCTTCATTATTGTTGGGCGAAATGAATTTGGTGCCAAATTCCCGTGGGAGCCATGCCATGGTTTCCTTTTCAAAGACAATGGTTTTCTGCAACGCTTTGAGCAAGATAGTCGCATTGTTGGCATCGGCATCCTTTTTAGGTCCACTCAAGAGCTGTAGAAAATGTTCTTTTGTCTAGCCACAACAACCGCAACAAGACAATTAGCGAGTGAGAAACTGGCATTCATCTTCTTTCTGCAATTTTAATAACAAAATATTAACTCACCATGATTAGAAAAGCCCGACAGAGCGAATACTGCATATTCCAATAGGACGGAAAGACCTTTGCAAATTGCTGATTGATTTGCGTGACCCGATCTCGAAACCATACGAATCGTTTCTCTACGGAATCCAATCCATAAATGGGTGCCGGTTCTGGTTCAGGATTCTCGACGACTTTGAAACTAGAGACACGTTTTTGTGGATTCTGTCCCTTGGCGACGGGTTGATAATCCTGTTTGTAGGGTGCCAATTGATCTTGACAGAATTGAATAATAAATCGTCGTCGTTGATCATGTCCCAGTGCATCCACTAGCAGGACCCCTCCTTCCATGACGGCGGGAGACATGACGGGTGGTTTATTATTATGCTCGTCATCCAATGGCGGCAATGTCTTGCCTCCCCGTTTGGCGGCGAGCGCTTCAATTTGTTTGGTGGCGGCGAGTCCCAATCCCTTGAGTCGAAATCCTCGTACCAACCCCAGTCTCAAATGTTCCTGTAGATCGGTCACTTTTTGTGCCAATCGAATCATGGGTTCGACCTTGTGCGTGTACGCTTGAAAATGCTGCAATAAAAGACGCGTCGCGTCCACCAAATGGGCCGCGGTTTTGTAATCGGGAAATGGCGTTTGGAGACATGCCAATCGCAACTGTTCGACGGCATGAATGAGCATGTGCAATCGTTTGAGAGTGGTAATGGTTCGCTGCAAATGTTTCTTGGCGAGATCCATGCGTTTCATATCGCGTGTGATTTCTAGTACGGCCACTTCGCTCTGCTGTGCTTTTTCTTGTACCAAATGAATGCGATTGACCAAGGCGGTGACGGATGCCTTGCTGTCTTGGACGTGACGACGTGTCAATTGGGCCGTTTCCGATTGTCGTTGAAGGGCATTGGAAATGCGGTCGTCCAGTCGTTCCATGCGTTCTCCTACGGATTGACGCAAATCGGGCAATTGTTGGACCAGCAGTTGTTCGCTGGTGTAATGACGATTCAAAAATTCAATGGGGTCGGCTTGAGTGGGGTCTTCTGCTGTACTAGTGTTTGTGGTTGTTGATGTAGAATCCAGCTTGGGGGTCATGGGTGGAGCCGTATTGTGATGATGATGATGCGAGTACAGTGTATCCAACAAAAAGTTGGGATCCGTTCCAGCGGCACCAGTTCCACTGCCGGCAAGACGGACCACTCGAGTTGGACTGAGTTGAGGTGCCCGAGGACTCATCCCAGGTATGGCGACGATTGTGCTCTTCACTCCTCGACTAGGAGAGGATAAGGAAGCATCCATGCCAGCGCTTCGAGAAGGAGGAGGTGCCATCGTTTCTCTACTACATATACCGGTACTGGTAACTACTTGTGGTTGTCAAAAAGAAAAAGCCAATGCTACTAGCTCAACAGGACCATCAACAACAAGGTTGGCATTGGAATGAGGTCCAATGGATCCGTTTGAGACGAGGTGTCTTTTGTGACTGGATTGCAACTTACTTATTCATATGCCCCCTGGGTCGTCTCCGTTTCCAGTACTAGTTTAACTTGTCTACTAATACAGGATAATGGTGAACAGAATCGAATGAATCATGTGGCTTATATTTAGGGTTTAGGTTTTGCAATTTTGAAGTCAACGTGTGTTAAGTGGAGGGTTGGCTCGCTTCCGCTGGGAGCTTGGTGTCTTCTTTTTCCTCTGTTTCCCGCTCTTCGTCGGAACTGGGTATTCGGTAATAGGACGTGAGGAAGTTCGGCAGCTTCTTCATACCTTGTGGAGTTGTCATCATTCTGACTATCGCAGGTGATACTTTGGCCGACGTGGGTTCGTGGAACAGGTGGGACGGGAGATGACGTATTTGGTTGCATTGGAACTGGAATGATTTGCGAATAATATTGGGAGTCCAGTATTGAGGATTTGAAAGTGAGGGCACGGGGATTTATACGGGAAGCTACTGTAGGAGACTACCACCGTTCTCTCTGCTGGTGCTTTTCAGAAGAGTTCCCAAGAAGCCTCAAAGTTCATGCCGGGGGGTAGGTGCAAAACCATGGGGAAGGCCAGTGTGGCAGCTTGAAGCGAACTGGTGGAGTAGAGTGGGGGCGGGGGATGGTTTGCGTGCGTAGTGGCTTGTAATAATGTTGCGACGGGCACCAGTGTTGGCCCGCATGCGACCGAAGTCCGATCATCCAAGGTTTTTTCGGTGAAATCAACGGAAGTAAGACGTGAAGCCGGAGTTGACCACGAGGCAAAAGAGTACACATGGCCCTTTCGTCTTGAGGAATTCGGATACAGTGCGGTATTCGCCTTGATCGATCCAAGAATCCGTCACAAGTTGAGTCATGATGTCGGAGTGGGTGAGCAGCTCACTCCAGGTGTCATGGACCTTGTACCACTTGTCCTGTTCGTCGAGAACTAGTAGGTTTCATCCTTCTTTGCCTGGGCGACCACGTATTTGCATGTAGGGCCGGTTTAAAGGTTTCATTGGACCACTTCGAAGGCCATTCTTGGGTTGGGATACTGGGGTAAGAAACGTACACCAGTTTCTCGTCATATTCACCTCTGGGGCACATATAACAAAGCCTCTTTGGTCATAAAAGTACACGTTGATGAGCCGTACATAAGGAAGCTTTTCCTCATCAGCAGAAGCGGGGTCCACCAATTTGAATCCCCACTCGATCATGTGCTTGTCAGCCGAGGTGAAAAAAGGCCATCATGTCTTTGGTTTTAACGCCGTTACTGAGTGGTCTCTTGCGTCGGTTGACATACACCCGGATAGCTTTCTTTTCAACAAAGCCTGTAACTTTAGGAACATTCCGGGGAGTGGTATTCTTCGTACTTACCTTGAGGTTGCTGGGATATTACAGCGTGGAACTCAAAGAGTTGAAAGGACCTCCTGATTTGTTGCACGCGCCTTTTCTTCTTCTGTTGATACCCGCGGAAGTAGGGGTTCGATGCGACGACGTGTGTTATGTCTGGGTGTTTGGGAAGAATGGTGAATGAGTTCTAAAACTTGAAGTCCGAAAGAGGAAGGTGAGTGGCCATGTTGTAAGGCAAAACAGTGTCAAACCAGAAGGAGAGAGAGAAATAAAGTACTTACTGCAGAGAGATCGCTGATGGGTTGGCTGGTTAGGTAGGTTGAGGGATTTTGAGGTTTGCTGAACTGTATTTGGTGACTGTTTCAAGATGATCGATGCGATAGGAATGGTTGAAATAAATACATTTCAAGGCAAAGAAAGTAATATATAGAAAGCGGGGTATGTCTTCGCCTGAGTGTAATTCGCTGATACGATTGAGCGGAGATCGTGTAGACTGGCTTGTAATCCTATAGTGAAACAGTACACTTGTATCGAAGGTGGAAGGGTCGTTGCCAGCGGAAGTCGTTTACGATACCTTCTCTAGAAATCGCAAGTTTTTGTGGAAAGATTCGATTTGTATTATTTAAGGGACGGTACCGGAGACACATGAAGAACACACGTGTGATTGGATTGTGTTGAAATCTGCCTCAATTGCTGCCCGCAGGGATTTAGGGTATTTGAATCGGTGCATATAATGATATTTTATCTTAACCACCAGATGAGTAGAGCGGACCCTCACGATTTTTGATTTTCGGTGTATATGTCATCTAAGTGAAAATAACAGCGAGATGGAAGCGGGGCGCGGATGTAAACGAAAGACGTGGGAATTACTTAACGATCAACATAACAGATTAGGAAACGTGGTGCGACTGGTTTCGCTGAAATGAAAAAAGATTTGTCACGCTGTTTTCAATATGTGGTTGGGTGTAGATAGATTGATTGCCTAGCATTGAAGTCAGCTGATCTATTGTGAAAATTGGATCGGAGAATAGATAATAGAGTACAATTTTGCTTCGATTTACCACGATGCATACAGGGAAAGTGTCTGTTCGAAGAACTGTGGAAGATAGGCTTCGTTCTCACAAAATCCTTATGGCAGGATGTGTTCCTTTACATGCAGTGCTTCGTGGGGCTTTCTTTTCTTCCTGGTGGCAGCTTCCATGTCCAGGTCCAACTTTGAGCCTTTAGAAATTATCGGCAATGTCAAGACCGTGGATTGCGTTCAGGCTAACATCGACCGTCGGTATGACAATCCGATGATGATGGATCCATGGAACCATAAGATGTACGCCCTATGTTCTGCTCGGGATGCCGAGAAACCACATGCATGAAACAAATGTGGAATGGTTTGTCTTCGATCAGTTAAAGAAGGGTCAAGAACATCTACGTTAGGACAAAGTCTTCCAAGATCATCCGGAGTACCGATGTGAAGCTGTTGAAGACAGTTACCGCTTTAGGGATCAACCTGCGAGGGTTCTGAAAGGATGTCGAAGATGGCTTGGTGAACTGTCGCTTTCACCACGTGGATTTTACGGGAAAAGGCGCAACTGTCGGAAATGGGGCATATGCTGTTGCAAAGGATGTCACGGGAATCTGAAGAAGGAGAAGCCTGAAACACCACTATATGCTATTGTCAACAGCAACTTTGTTGATGTGCCAACCTGATATCTCTGCATGTAAGGCAGCGGACGCCCTGGAACGGAGAGCGCGAGTGCTGCGTTGAGGCGATACGAAGGAACCGACGTGGTTGGCTGGAAGTAAACCTTCCATTGAAGTTGGCGAGGTTGATCCCGACGGACCGCGGATGGGGTACAATCGGAAGGTACTTCAATGGAGGGAAACATCCGAGTGGACATCACGGGACCCACAAGGATTTGGCATATCGCTAGGAGACTACAGAAGGAGCGGTGGTGGGATGCCAGGAGTGAAAGGCTTTGGGCCCGCCCCGCCGGGGGGCCCAGGCTTCGTTACCAAAAGGATAACTGAAGAGCCCGAGTAGAAGGTTTCCGGCGAGAAAATGGTTTCCGGAGACTGACCGCATTCGAAATGACAGGCATCGGTGCAAGAAAAGATACTCAAGCGTTATCAAACCTCAAACATACTGAGCCACATTGCTAAGGGGCGGTCAATGCGGGGGGGGGGGCGAGAAGGCGGATATATCATTCACAATAGCGACACGCCCGCGAAAGCCGCGGAAAGAATTAACAGAAGTCGAGATAGCCTTTATTACGCCAGTGAAATCTTACGGGTACTGTTTTTCCTATGTTGGCGGAAGGATGAAAACTTTGAAGGGGATCATGACCTTTATGCGGGTAGACTACAATGTGATTGGTCGTGCAACGGCACATCTAGAAGCAATGGGCCTGAACAAGAATGTCGTGATACTGCTATCAGGGAAGATGACGCCAGACCAGAAACAGAAGGCAACTCGGAGTATTCGTACCGACAAGATCATGGCGGCTGTGGAATGGCTGGTACAGAATAACCGGAGCTGGAACCACGTTGATCTTGATGCGTACCGCAGAGAGTTAGTGGGTGTGACACCTGTGATAGTGGATCGCAGTAAAGAAGTCGAATCTGAGAATTCGAATGTGGAGCAACACGAACTTTTCAGCTGCTACTTTCCGGATGGTCTAGCTACTGAGACCAATGGTGGATTCGATAACATGAGCGAGTTCAAGACATTTGTCCAGGAGATGCAAGAGAAGGGGTTCGATTTACAGCTCCAGCATGATCCTACAAAGGCTTTTTTACAAGGGACGGATTCTGATGCCTGATTCAGTCGTGTTTGCTGAACTTCCCATATGGCGTCGGAAGTATAAGGATTTCAGACTCATGAGGACGGATGTTGGAGGAACTGGACGAACACAGAAGACTTCCTGGCCACTTTTGTCAGCTGTCCCAACCGGAATTTCATTCACCATGTTCCAGTTGGTTGTATAGTATTGGGACAAAAATCCGACTTTTCAAGAGAGCCCGACTTCAGTTGAAGGGGAAGTTTTCTGCAAAGGCAATTGCGGAAGGTCTAGATGGAGATGACGTGTCTAGGGCTATATCAAGTCGAAGAGCAGGGAATTATCAAGCCGGTCTACTTCAAGCAAGTGCATACTGAATCCGTAAATGCTATCAGCAAAGCACTGCCCCACACAAATGAACAGCCAAGTTGGCTAGAGGTACCGCTGAATCAATGAACACATACTTTGGCACGGGTACTGTATCTTGACAGTGAGCTTGATGACGAAAACAGTGTGTAATGGAAGTACTAAGCGGGAAAGAGTGGAAGGGCCTGACGGTGATTGGAAATGCAAGCGAGAGATTCTCAAGAACGAAGCAAAGAACGGAGACAGCTTCGATAGATTTTCCAGCACTATGAGCACTCCATTTCGATATGTTGTTCGACATTCTATGTGAAGAAGTTATAGGATGGGACCGCCATAACAACTGTGCTACAGAAGAGCCGGGACTTTTTGGGGAAGTGTTGGCGATGGCAGCAGCATTTGAAGACAAGGCCGAAAGTCAGTGCACACCCATCTTACAGTTTGGATCAAGAATTTCTTTAAGCTGCAAGAAGGTGTTTGTGCGCAGCGAGATCGCAACGGAAAGAGATGTCCGACAAGTGCCTTTCAAGATACCACGAACGGATGGCTACTACAGAGATGTTCCCCACAGATACCAGAACTCTCCTGGACTTTCTGATCATGCGTAAAGTGTCCAAGAGGTTTCGGGAATCCCCCTGTGTTGTGTCGGATC